GTCAAGGAAGGGAAGATTAAACAGAGAGAAGAAGACACAGAGGGTTGGAGGACCAGACATGGCTGCTTCACTCTTTTCAATCATTCAAAGGCCCATTGATTCTCACGGCGAACCTCTTCTTCTTCCTCAGGCGTGAAGTCGTTCTTGATATTGAAAGTCTTGCGGATTTCTTCCGGGGTTTTTCCTTTAATCATATCGGCAACGGTCTGGCAGGTCAAGTCCAACAATCCCTTGATATTCAAGTAGTTAGCAGCCTAAAAGGAGTCAAGTCAGAGAGAAATCAAATTAGATTCAAGCTTTCTCTATAACTCTCAAAAATAAAAATGGGAACTTTAAGCAAAACAAAGAAAATCAACATCACCAATGGTTTTAAGATCATGAACAATGAAGAAAGTATCAAAATGTTAAAGCTCAAGGCTAATTTCATTATGATATGTAAAGAAGAACACAAATATGGCCAGTCTTCGGCTACATACAATCCAACACATTCAAAAGAAAAATCTTCATTTCAAGCGATCCCTAAAAAGTTGTTGTATCTGTGAGGAACCCTGAAAATTAGACCCCAAATCAGAAAACTGAGACTTTGAAACTGTAGCAAATCGGAAAATTTGGGAATAGTTCTAAAACAAAACCTAAAAGTTGTTTTCTCCCACGAACCCTAAAATTAGACCTCAGATCGAAAACCCTAAATTAAGATCAATCTCAAATCAGAGCTAATCGAAAAAGGACAAACCAGGATAAGATCGAAGAGGGTGCTCTGATCGACTTTGATAAACTCAGAATCCCAATTCTTGAGATCATCGTCACTAGAGGCGGAAGCGACGGTAGTAGCAGAAGCGGCGTCGGTGGTTTCGGATTTAGCAGCAGCGTCGGTATGCTTTTTGCAGTACTCAATTACTTTGGAGAGGATCTTACTGGTGACGTTCGGAAGAGGGATACCATCATCAGCACAGTCGTCTTCAATCATGTGCTTAATGGTCTGCGACTCGAGAGCCACCACCTCGTCAACTTCGAAAGTCTCGCCATCGGAGCTTTTCAGAGTGATCTTTCTCACCGTCGACATCGGTTTTTGGATTTGGAGACGACGTGGAGATTGGAGAAGGAGGAGATTCGTAGGAACGAGATAAAGTTGAAGGAAAAATACAAAGACTTTCAGCTTAAAAGCAATAATTTTTTTTTTTTAGTGATTCTTAAAACCGGATCATATGGATTCATACATCTAACCGGTATGACTAGCAATTCAACCAACGTAATAAATGTTTTTAAAACCAGATCCGCGACGGAACCGGAAAAACTTTGAATCGTGGGTTAATACGGTCGGATCGGGTTCAACTGGATTCGATATTTTGAAAAATAA